AGTAAAAATATGCTCCTTCACCTGGGAGAGAAGTAGTAAAAGTATTGACACGTTTAAGAAAATATTTGGAGTATTTCAAATGAGGCTAAAAAAGGAGATGAATTTAAGAAACCTGCAGGTCTAGAGTAAAGGTTCTCATAGCCACCCATAATCTGCTTGCAAAGGAGCAAAGGAACTAATTAAATTTGAAGAGGATCACGCGCCTGATAAAATAATTAAAAATAAATTGCTCTCCTTGGAAATGCAAATTGCTAAGCCATAAAGCAACCCTGTTGGTCACTTTGACAATAAATAGACGTATTTTCTCAGGTCTTTTAGGTGGCATTGATTGATTTCCAATTGTGGATAAAACAAGGCCTGAGCAGCTTTTGAAACAAAGGTGAGGAGACCCCAGGCCTGATGGGGACAGCCTTTGAAAGCCTCAAGCCTTAGATGCCCCCACCTTTGGAATTTTCCAGGCAGAGATTAGGGGATCCCCAGGAATCACACTTGACCTGCTGCTTGCCTTGAGAACAAGGGAGGACCTAGTGGCACTGCTGACCCCTCCTCCTCCACACATTACCACAATGTTTTCCTGCTGCCCGGAATTGTCAGGTCATGGGAAAGATGCCCTGGAGCCAATGGATGGGTCCTTTGGTGGGGGAAGAAGGGGAGACGGCTGGCCTTGGGGGCCTAAGTGTAGCACTACTGCATGAAACAGAAAAAGCTTTTTCTCAGCAATGACTTAGTAAATCTTATGGCATAAAAGCAAACCCCCTCCCCCTTTCCCCCCCAAATCCTCAAGCTACAAAATGTTTTATAGAACCAGTATTGATTCACCTACTCTTAAGCTCTTGAGTAGGCATTTGTAGATGGGATAGGGGGGAAAAATGGATTTTTGGTCTAGAAAGATGTTACATTCTGGTTGGGAGGCAGTTTTTAGGTAAATGAGTGAATGTTCCCTATTCTTTCTGCCTTGCTGACGTTGGGCTCTTTCCTGCACCTCTTACCTGGAAGAAGGAGATTACCTCAAGCCAATGTAACTGGGCTACCCGTGTTTCCAGGGAAATTAGTAATGAAGAGAAGACCCAAGAAGAGGGAGAGGGGAAGAGAAAGGGCAAGGAAGGCTTGGACCCACCCAGGACTCCACCATCAGGGCTCATCTGACCCTCCAATCTGTGTGAGGGAGGCACTTCTCTACCTACAACCTCTAGGGGGCGTGGTCAGGGGGAGCCTGAGTAATGATGATGCTATCTGCGTCTGAAAGTTGCAAGGGGTAAATAACCTGGCACCATATAGTTTTAATTTCTTTCTCCATTACTGCTAAGGTTGTTGAACATTTTTTTTCAGGTATTTGTTGACCATTTTTATTTCTTCTTTGAAAAAAACAAAATGTGTATATTTAAGAAAAACAAGTGCTCATTAAATGTTCCCTCTGATTCCTAGGCAACTTGCCCAAGGCCACAGCTGTAGGGAAGGACAGGAGCAGGCTTTGTTCACACCCAGGTAAGTTCACTTCAAAAGTCCCCATGTGCTCCTTCCACCAGATGCAGGTGCCTCTCAGGAGTCAGTTGTCTTCATCTTCCTCTTGGTGCTTCCTCCTGTCTGTAGTCCAGCCTTCAGCTCCGTTCAGACCCACCCAAAGAGACTTGTCTTTCTGTGTTCTGAGACTCAGCTGCGACAGCTTTTTGGCCTTCCAGAATAAGCAGAGGAGGGAAATGAGCAGAAGAACGAACATGACCAAGGGACAGATGACAAGAAAGTAGAGTAAAGGTGTAGAGGAGCAGATCCGGGAAGGAAACGTGGTCTCTGCAATGAAAGGGAGGAAAATACAGACAGCGTCATTCTCCCACCTATCTAGACTAACCAGTCATGCACATTTCTCAATTTAATGTTACAGGCAAATATATGTAAACACAAAGGGGCCAAGTGACATGTGGGAGCCCAGGACTGGGTGCTTGCACAGCTCTGCTCACCTAATGCTCGCAACTCCCCCTTGCCCAGCAATTTCCAACCACTGGAGTTTCCAATGACCTACTTAAAACTACCAGCACAAACCAAAGACAAAACAAAAAGAAAAAGAAAACCTCTCCTTTAATCTTCCTTCCTCAGAAAAGATATCTATAATTCAGCCCTCGTTCTCAACTATGTTGCCAGCCCTGAATTTTTAACTGAGCTATTCCCACTGCTGCTTCTGAAATACACACCACATTGCACTGTCCTCGTAAACATCTGAGCCTGCAGAGAGGAGCACTTCCCTCCCTGACCCATACCTGGCCTCCAAGCAGAACCCTCTTGGGCTCCTTTTCTGGACTGCTCAATTGTCCTACCCTGTACCTAATTCTCCAGGTCCTTCCTTCCTAGCCAGATCACTCTTCCTTTCCTGGTGCTCCTACCTGGCCTTGGGCACAAGTCTCTGCTTATTCCCCTCTCACACAGCCCTTTGTTTAGACCTCTTTCCTCCTCTTTAACCCCTCTCTTTGTTTTATTATAGCTATGGAGTACATCTGATAGTGTCATGTGCTTCTACACCCCCTACAGTGTCTAGGACACGTGTTCAATAACTTCTGCTGATCTGAATTAAATCAGGTTGACTGCAACCACCCAGGCCAAAGATACTATATAAAGTCATGCTGAAGTATGTGATCCTCCCGCAGCTGCAGTCCGCAGGGAAGCACCATCAGCAGACAGACATGTGGAGCACGCACAAGCAGCCTCAGAGTGGCTCCTGGCCGCTCGCTCGGTCAAGGGAGCAAAGAGGAGAGGATTGCAAACACCACAGGTTCCAGCAAATGATGCCCTGAGCTACAGCCGGTCAAAAGAACCACATTTACAGAGTCTTGAAGCAGAAAGTCATAGGCTTAAAGACATACCGACCACTAATTATAGCCTACCAACTGCATTTATTTATGACATGATATTTGAAATCAGGACCGTTCAGAAAAAATCGCATGCTATCAATAGCTGTGCTTTTCTTGGAAAACTGTAACGACATAAGCAATCTCTTCTTCAAAGGTTAAGCTATAGGATTCATAGAATTATAGACTCTTTGAGATGAAAACAGGTTTATAGGTCATTATGACCCATCTCCTGCTGTAAGAATTCCATTTTGGGCATTGCTAATGCATTTTACATGTTGAAAAAAATTGAGAAAGAATCTGGACATTTGCTCAAGTGCTGTATTGTGTGTTCCTTGAAGGTAAGGCCTGTGTCTTATGAGTCTTTTTATCTTGTGCAGCACTTTATCCACAGGACCTCAATGGAGCCTAATGAATGCAGTATTGTATGAATGCATTTCACAAGGGAACAAGGGGCAGCCGCCATTGTATTATGAAAAGTAAGGATCCTCCTGAACTTGAGGCTGGCAGCTCTGAATGGGCTGGCAAAGAGCTGCAGGGGTTTGTGGCTGGGATTTTTTCTGGTCTCACTTGCATTCTCCATGCTATTTTTTTTTTTCTTTTTGGAAGGATGAGCAATGGCAGTGCCAGATTTTGAATTCTTTACCATCTCCTCTCCACATTCTCTCCCAAATGATCCAGCTTGATTACAGTTATTGTCCCAGGTCTCATCTGAGCACACTGAAGGCATGGTTAAAAGGAAGCATAGATAATGCTAAAAGAGAATGGAGCCAGGACTAGGTGCAGAGGTCACTGGCCATGGGCATTCACGCAGAGTAACGAATGAGCACCTACTATATTTCAGAGAGAGCTGGGTTCAAATCATCATGCTTCAACTTACTGGAAGTTACTTATCCTCTCTAATCATTAATTTCCTCATCAGACAAACAGGGATAATAATAATGTCCAGAGTTATGATGTGATAATGCATAATACAACATTTAACATAATGCTTAATAGCATTTGTTGAATCAGAAAACAATCAATATTAGTTGGAGGGCTACTGAGAAAGCTGAGAAAAATTGCAGACAACTTACTCTCAAAACACTATATGCAGGATTCCTGTTGCTTCCTCATTCAGGGATCACATGTGCCATAGTTTGGATCTGGAATGTCCCCCAAAAGCTAATGTGTTAAAGGCTTGGTCCTTAGCTTGGCACTACTAGAAGCTGGTACAACCTTTAAGAGGGGGATCTATTGGAAGATCTTAGGTCACTGTGGGTATGCCCTCAAAGAGGATCGTGGGACACCAGTCTCTTCCTTTTTCTTTGCTTCTTGGATGCTATGAGGTGAGCAGCTTTCTCTGCTGCACACTCCTGCCATAATGTACTGCCTCCCGACAGGTCCAAAACAATGGACCAACTGATGATGAACTGAAACCTCCAAAACTATGAATCAAGAGAAAACTTTCTTGGGGCTGGGAATGTGGCTCAGTGGTAGAGTGTCTGCCTGGCATGCACAAGGCCCTGGGTTCAACCCCGAGCACCATACACTCAAAAAAGATAAACAAAGGTTTATCTGAGGTATTTTGTCACAGAGATGGAAAGCCAGTTAACATGACAGTCTTGGCCAAGTTCTTCTACCAGCTAAATTCTCTTCGATGTCATCCTTTGTCCCAAACCTGGGCAACCTTCAGCTAAAAGGCTCTGGCTTCCTTTCTAGTCATGGGAAGCCGAGAATTTGAGGTGGGAGTTGGCTGTACCAAGTCTCACGGTTGCTAGGATGGTGGTGTGATGATGGTGAGATGGGGCTGGCGCATGGGTGGTGGGAAAAAGAAATCTGGTACTGAACTTCTTTGCCCCTGGGACTGTAATCTTCTGCGTGAAGGGACTGCCAGAGGCCTTGATGGTCTTAATGGGGAGGAGGATGCTCTGTTTAGAGCAATCTGCTATCAAAGGACGGCAAAGTGCACTCCTCACAGCGCTGAATTAGCCAGCAGCTACCAACTGTCAGCTCCAGTGTTTCTAAATTACCTCTCCTGGGAGGGCAGTGTTTTCTCTGGATCCCACATCACCATTTCCCACCATCTGCCTCTCACCCATATTTGGATTAGAATTGGTGACACTCAAAACCATCAGGGTTTGGCATTTTGAATCAATCTAAGTGTCCAAGGCTCAAAGTACAAGCCCTGCAAAACAGAGCCAAAAATTTAATGAGAACACTTTATCATGAGGCTTAGTTTATAACTTGCTCCTCCCACAGCCACAGGGGAGCCTCCTTTTGGATACTATCTCAGAAACACTGACTTCTGAGAAGTGTAGGATGATAAGGGGGCTCCCAATTCCTCTCCACCCCTCCATCCAAAACTTGGGCAATTGGCTATACCACACATGCAAGTGTGGTCCCTGCCAAGAAATAAAAGTGGGGGAAGGGCTTCTGATATCAGGTGCATCTCAGAATCAGTAACGCCCTGTCAGCATTCCATTTCAACTTAATGGAAGACTTGCTCATTCTTTGATCAAGCCTGTGTTGAGTGCTATGTGCCAGGCCTCACTGAAGGCAAGGGTGAGAGGTAAACAAATGACGTGACCTCTCCAGGAACATCAGTGTGGTAGGATGTGTGTCTCCTTTAAGAATCCACCTTCTCAATAAATCCTCACCCCCAAAGAGCTGGGAAATGGCTACAAGTATTACACTACTAAAATAATCCAGTCCCCAGAAAGCCTTACAACCTGGCCTATCAATTAATCCAGACAATTCTTCAAAAAATAAAGACCTTCATATGTAGGGCCTGAGGATGAGGCAGACAGACTCAGGCAGCTGTAGGCCCTGTCCTGGCTTGGCCATTGGTAAGGAAGTAACATGGAGAAGAAAAGGTGAGGTCCATTCTCCCAGGGAATGCCTCTTAATTATTCTGCCTTCACTGGAGTTCCCTGCTCCACAACTCTAATGTGTAAAACTAACCCAACCTGGGGTGCCCACAGAGGGGGTGGAAAGCCACTGAGAAGTGACAATTAGCAGTATATTATATGTGACCCGGGTACTTTTTAGCACATGGAACTGGTACTCTCCAGGAATGGGATTGTGACTCAGTAAGTATCTGAGCATCTCCTGCATGCCAGACGGAGCCAGATGGGGACAAGACACCCATAGTCTTTGCCTGCTCAGAGCGTCAGTCTAGCAGTGGTGGTGGGTGAATGTGGTCGTGATGACTAAGAGAGCAAGGTGAGTCACGGTGACAGCAGCAGCTCAGTTGGTGGGTGAAAGATTAGAGGTTGACCAGGGAAGAAGGTGTGGAGGGGGCCGTGAGGCACTACCAGTGCCGGGTGTCAGCCGTGTCTAGTCTCTTCTGCTCTTCGCCTTCTTCCTCTCTACAGTGTGAATGTGCTCAAGTTCCTACCATCTTTGAAGCAACACAGAAATAAAGCAGAACGAAAATGCTCTCACTGACACCTCTTTCTATGTTTGTGGTCTTCTCTCTTTCCCGTTATAGCTCTTGAGAGAGTCATCTGTACTTGATGGGTTGCTTGCTCGTTTCTAGACCAGTGCAATCTGACTTCTCTCTTTACTGTTCTGCAATTGTCCTTCTATCTTGTCAAATCCATGGAAACGCCATTCTTAGCTAAGACCTCTCTGCACTGTTCAGCACGTTGTCTCTCCCTTCCCTCTTGATGCCCTCTCTGCCCTGGGTTTCTGTGATAGCACTGAATTCCAATTTTCCTCCTACTTCCCAGCCATCGCAGTCAATCTCCTCCTTCCCAGTCTGCCTCTCTGTTCTCCTGATCAATAGTGAGATGTCTCAGGGACTCATCTCTGAGCATCATCGGTTATAAATTAATAGCCCCTAAAGTACAACTCTGCTGCATATT